ACACACACACACACACAGGTTTACATTTGTGAAAAGTTGGGACAGCCCATAGGTGTAATGGTTTTTATACTGTACAGACCGTATGTTCTATTGCCCTTTACCAACCCTACCCCTAAACCTACCCCTTACAGGAGACTTTGTGCTATTTCAGATTTTCAATGGGGGAGAGGGTGAATGGATCATCATGCCATCGGAGCGCAGGGGTACTGGGAGTGTTTAAAATTCTCAGTATATGTCATTCTGTTTTAATGGGAATGAATACACACCAAAATGCATACTTGTGCATAATGTTGGACCCCTTTACAATCATGCACACACCCACCCACACACACACACACACACACACACACACACACACACACACACACACACACACACACACACACACACACACACACACATATTGCAGAGAATAAGTTTGCAACATCCTGTCCAAACATAACCATATTGGAAATTCGGATACACCATTTTTTTATTCATTTATTTATGTTTCATTTGTTTATTTGTTAACTGCATATTTAACTCTTTGTGATGGTAGTATGGAAGTTCTGTCAACTTTACTATGACACGTTTCACAAAATAATTGCATCAGTTCATCTCCTTGTCGCTAGGAGGCGCCAAATATGAACAACAGTACTACTAGACAAGGTTTTATTTACCTCCAGGTGTATATTCAAAACTGAAGTCTTAAAATACTGCAAAACAAATATATAAATGCCCTAGTTTTTGGCTATTTTAATTGTGTTATTTTATTTTAAAGCATGTTGTTGTCAATACGTTTTTGGAAGATTCAGGTTTTTAAACGCCATATGTGCCACATGAAAAGATAAGCCTATATGTGCTACTACGCTTCACAAATGTTTCAATTTATCTTTGTTTTAAATCAAACTGGGATAATTGAAAATATTGAATGTTTTGTGTTCTCATTCTGTGTTTTAGCTGCATTTTGATTGTTGATGACTGTTTAGGTATTTTGTATTTGAAAGCTCTTGGTTAAAACTGACAATTATTGTCCAACCAAGAACTCTGATCCGAACTCATGTTTGTCATTTTGGGTGAGCCTAACCAGACACTATTTACTTTCCCTTGTCTTTTCAAAGAGCATCATGTAAATATTTAAAAAACTTAGACTCTGATACATATAACAACCACTTTTTTTTTAACTATATACAGTTGCCTTTTAAGTAGTATTATTAACAATTTAATTTAGGAGTGCTTTTGTTTGTATCAATTTAAATTTATTTTAGAAATTGGCATTGTTTTCTTTTTAATGTGAATAAATAAGTGGTTGAATGCATGTTAAGGTTGGTCATGATGGTGGATTAATAAATGGAGGCCCATCATGTCTAGACTTTCTTTGAACCACAAAGTAATACCCATCATTTTGCAGCCCTATCGATGTT